ACTTTCGTTATTCACAGATGATATGATAGTGTACTTAAGTGACCCCCAAGACTCCACCAAAGAACTTTTACAGCTGATAAACAGCTTTAGTAATGTGGCAGGATACAAGATCAACTCCAAAAAATCAGTCACCCTCTTATACACAAAGGATATGGAAGCAGAGAGGGAAATCAGAGAAGCTTCACCATTCACAATAGCCACAAACAGCATAAAATATCTGGGGGTAAATCTTCCCATAATTTCTTTAGTTCATCAGCAGTGAAAGGCACTATAATTTCTGCTGGGTCTATGCCTGCTAGTTGATGAAGTCTCAGCTTGCCTTTTATAATTAACTCAGAGACTTTTTCCACATAAGTTTTCAGTTTCTTACTTGGTTTATGTGGTAAAAAGATCCATTCCAGAATAATATCATCTCTCTGCATTAAAATTCCTGTAGGAGAAATTTTTGATGGTAGTATGACGAGAATACAATCGAGCTCTGGATTCACCCTGTCCACATGTGCCTGTTGTAATTTTTCCTCAATCATTGTCAGTTCCTTTTCTGCTTTAGCTGTTAATTCTCTGGGACTGTTTAAATCTTTATCACCATCCAAGGTTTTGTTCAAATGAATTATTAGATCAGGTGTTATTCCAATAGCTGGTCGTAGACTGGAAATGTCTCCTAACAGTCTTTGAAAGTTATTAAGAGTCCGTAGGCGATCTCTCCTAATTTGTGCTTTTTGTGTCTTAATTTTTTGCAAACCTATTTTATAACCTAAATAATTAACAGAATCTCCCTTCTGAATCTTTTCAGGAGCGATTTCCAATCCCCATTTAGGTAAAAGTATCTTTATTTCTTCAAAAAGTCTGTTCAAGGTATCCATGTTTGAATCGGATAACAAAATGTAGTCCATGTAATGGTATACTATAGATTTGGGAAATTTCTTGCGTATTATTTGCAATGGTTGGTTCACAAAATATTGGCACAGGAAGGGGCTATTTAACATACCCTGGGGGAGGACGGTCCAGTGGTACCTCCTCGAAGGTTGAGAATTGTTATAAGTAGGCACTGTGAAGGCAAATTTTTCTCTATCTTCTTTTTGCAAAGGTATAGTGAAAAAACAATCCTTTAAATCAATAACTATGAGAGGCCATCCTTTTGGTAATAAAGAGGGCAAAGGAATTCCAGATTGCAGAGGGCCCATAGGTTGAATAACCTTGTTGATGGCCCTGAGATCTGTCACCATTCTCCATTTACCTGATTTTTTCTTAACCACAAATACAGGAGAATTCCAAGGGCTGGTAGATTCTTCTATATGTCCAGCATCTAATTGTTCTTATACCAGCTGTTCTAAAGCCTGTAACTTTTCCTCAGGTAAAGGCCATTGCTTTGTCCATATTGGTTTCTCAGTCAACCATTTTAGAGGCAAGGCTGTTGGTATCTCTGAAGGGACATCAATTGCTTGTTCCTGTACAGCCCGAATGGCCGGTTTTCTCTGTTTGTAATATCTTTTAATATTATTCTCAGAAATATAGGCTCTAGATTTAGCAGGAATGTTAATTTCGGTATTCCATTGTTGTAATAGGTCACGACCCCATAAATTCATTGCGATATTGGCTACATATGGCTTTAATTTTCCTATTTGTCCCTCTGGCCCTATACATTCAACCCATCTCATGCTCTGCCTTACTTGAGATAGGGTTCCAATTCCCAGGAGCTGAACATTTACATTCTGAAGAGGCCAATACGGATGCCAAGATTCTGGGGTAATGATACTTACATCAGCACCTGTGTCCAGCAGGCCAGTAATAAAAATACCATTTACACACACTCTCAGTTTAGGTCTTTCATCATTTATAGAAGTTTGCCAAAACACACGTAACTTATCTTTCTGATCATTATTGCTTGTAACAGTAGGCATGGGGCTTCCTAATTGTCCTGATGAGGCACGTTCTCTGCAGAAACTGGAAATGACTGAACCATGTTTGCCATGGGGGCCTGTGAGGCCCCCCTCTCACGTTTCCTGACTGTATCAGGTTGCCTTGTCTATCTCTTGTAGACCTGCATTCATTCGTCCAATGTCTGCCCTTTCCCCATCTTCTACATAAACCTGAAGGCTGAGTCCTCCTATTTCTGTTATTTCTAGAGGATGCATTATTATTATTATTTCTGAAAGATGCATTATTATTATTATTATTATTATTATTTCTGAAAATCCGTTGTCTACAATTCCTTTTCATATGACCCATTTTGCCACAATTAAAACATTTGGTATTCTGGTGTCTCCTTTTACCATTGGAAATTGCTTCTTCTACCCATGCTTCAGTGCCATAATCAAATGTATCAACACTGAGTGAATGCAAGACCCATTCTTCCAAAGGCGCTGATCTGAGCTTTAAAGGCCCCAAAATCCTTTTGCATTCCACATTTGCATTTTCATAAGCCAAAGACTCAATCATTATATGTCTTGCTTCTGGGTCAGATATCCCTATTTGTACAGCCTTAGTTAATCTTTGTAAAAAGTCACTAAAGGGTTCTCTCTGACCCTGTTTAACTCTGACAAATGATTCCATTCTCTGTCCTGGGTCTTGTACCCTGTCCCAAGCCCTTAAGGCTGCTGTAGTACACATGGAGAGTGTGTTTTCATCCAAATTAGCTTGTTCCTGAGGGTCGGAAAAGAGCCCTTCACCTAGAATTTTATCTAGGGAAATGTCAATTCCCTTTGCTTTTTCCTGCTGTTCTAAGAGTCTAGCCTCTTGCCTGAATAAGCATTGCCATTTCAATTGTGGTCCACTCTCAAGTACTGCAGAGCTCAGCTGGAGCCAGTCCGAGGGGGTTGCTCTGCTTGTCGTGGCCCAAGATCTTAGCATCTCTTTAACAAAAGAGGCTTGCATCCCAAAAGTCATGACAGCCTGTTTAATTTCCTTGAGGTCATTCATACGGACAGGCTCCCATGTATCCTCCTTGATGACCCTAGGGTTTCTGGAACCAATCACCTTTTCTGTTGTTATTACTGGAAAGGCAGATAGAGCTGTAGGTAGAGCTTTGTGGAAATTGTCCCGGAGAGATTTACCCACAGATGTAGTTAAAATTTGCCTTTCTACCCTTTGCTCTTCTTCATCAGAATTTAGAAATTGCTCAATCTTTTCAATTCTATTCACCATTGCCTTCTGCAATGTCTGAATCTCCTGTCCAGAATTATGTTCCAAAGCCTTCATTGAGGATTCTAAAGTATGAAGTTTGTCCGTTAGAGATAACATCTCATCTTTGGACATAATTTTTATGGCATAAACCATGCCTTCTTGTATTGACAATCTTTCCGTCAATCTGTCATAAGCTTTAGACAAAATCCGATTGTCACATTCAGCAGTTTTGATTCTCTCAGTTAATGTTTCATTTCCTACAGAAAGGGACTGAATCTAATGGTCCAGATCAGCTGTTCCCTCTTCCATAGTAATGAATTTCTCCTTAATATCAGCCACTAATGTTTCAGTTCCTACAGAAAGGGACTGAACCTTCCGATCCAGATCAGCTGTTCCCTCTTCCATAGTAATGAATTTCTCCTTAACATCAGCCTGGAGAACTTCAAACTGATTCTTGAGAAGATTGTTATCAGCCTGGAGAACTTCAAACTGATTCTCGAGAAGATTGTTATCAGTCTGGAGAACTTCAAACTGATTCTTAAGAAGATTGTTATCAGCCTGGAGAACTTCAAACTGATTCTTCAGAAGATTGTTATCATTCTCAATTGTTTTTAAGCGTTCAATCTCTGCCTTAAGAATCCTGGATTCGTCTCGTAAAGACTTTATCATATTTTTATTATCAAACCATTTGGTGCCAATGAAAACTACGAATCCCAGAAGGATCCATAGATGTGGGGTGATAGACACCTCTTGTAAAATCTCCCACATGGTACAATTAAAAAAAACTGTTAAATTCTTGAACAGTAATGTGTTCAGACATTTTATTTATAAAAAAAAATTTTTTTTACCTGCAATGATCGGTTCCTGTCAGTGGTGGTTTCTGTGTTTTTGGAGCCTGTCCTAGAACTAGCTCTTGTAGACCAGGCTGGCCTCGAACTCACAGAGATCCGCCTGTCTCTGCCTCCCAAGTGCTGGGATTAAAGGCGTGCACTACCACTGCCTGGCCGGCCTCAAACTCACAGAGATCCGCCTGCCCTTGCCTCCCAAGTGCTGGTATCAAAAGCGTTCGCCACCCCTGCCCGGCCAAGTCACTTTGTATCAGACCAAATCTGACACTGTGGCAGCTTTTGTTGCAAAACCGCAGGTACTTGAGCTTCTGCTAATTCAGGCAGTGGGGTTCTGCTGCAAAACTTAGCCAAGGCAGGCAGAATGGGCCTGTGTTGCTGAGTATGTCTCGGACTGTTTTTCAGTCACGAACTGAAAAACAGCACCCGGGAGGGTGCTGTGTTAGCTAGCGGGCTACCCGCTTGAGTCGGGGGCAAAATAGCCCGACATTGGACGCCAAAATGTAGTGGCATAAACGAATGCAGACAGATTGTAAAAATATATATAGTTTTAATGTAGAAATAGACTTACAGAACCACCATTCCAGCGGAGACCAGGAAAGCAGAAGAGACAGCTAGGAGCACGCTTGCCAAATTTATAGGCAGACATTAGCCCGAGGCAAACACGCCCCCTAAGAGGCGGGACTTATCCCTACAACCAAGCTTCAGATGTCTTCCAGAGTCTAAGCTATCATGCACATTATATGGGAGGGAAAAAAAAGTAGTATTCTTGGCAGCAACATGTTATCACACTCCTCTCCTTAATTCCTCTCTCTCTCTCTCTCTCTCTCTCTCTCTCTCTCTCTCTCTCCTCTTTCTCACACATACACAGCTGATATTTTAAATGGAGAAAAGTTTTAAACTAAATCATAAAAATCAAGGAAGCCCATGTTTTGGCAGCTGATTTTATTACATAGCTTTAGATGGAAGCAAATGTCTTTGTCAAGGCATAGCAGAAAGTACAAAAGTTTGAAAAGCAGGACAGAGTCAGGTTCATGGCCAGTTGCAGCAATTACAGCTGGTATCAAAGACAAGGCCTGCCGGACAGTGCTGCAGGTATGTGATTCCGTGGGAGCAGTGCCAGAAGGCATGTCTGTCATTGACCACAGGGTACAGGCCATCAGCTTTGGCAGCACAGAATCCGCTGCCTTCAGAGCTTCCTCCAGAGCTCCCACTCCCACTCCTGCTTCCGCTTCCTGGAGGAGAAGTCACTGGCTCCGTAGGATCAGTGGGCACATCAGGGGCTGTGCAACCTAAAATATAATAATAGAAAGAGTAGAGGGGTGGTCATGTTGTGGCCATAAACTTCAAGTGAAAGTAAAGAAAACTAGGTACATTATTCCCAGTCTGTATTCCTGTAGGGTCTTACCACATTGAGGCAATCATTGCTGCCAGTGTCAGTAGGATATTTGTAGAGGGAACTGTTCTCTCCTGTGTAGCCATCCCAGGAGCCATGGAGGTCATATGTCATGACATGGATTTGATCAAGGTACCTGACAGGTAATAAGATTTAAAATCATTTCTGATAACTGTTTCTCACATCTTTGCCTTCAATAACACCTTTTCCAAAGCAAGTACACAAGCAATGTCTTTTGAGTGCAAGATATCGCTAGACTGACCACCACAGTGCTTTAACAGTTCCCACAGACGTTTGGAATAAGTACATCACTCACTGGGAAAGTTCACGGATCTCATAGCCAGCCTCAATGTTGGAAATGCCAGCAGCTACAGCCACAGTTATCATCAACCTGGGTTGGTTCTCATTAGCCTCCTTCTCAAAAGCTTCATAAATTTTCTATAGAACAAGGCAAGCATATTTGAAGTTAGTTTCAGAGATGTATATATAATAAATACATATTTTCACAGTGTCTTTCTTCTCTAAAGTACTTCAACTATTTTATCTGACATTACTCTATCAATGTCTTAATAATGTCAATAGTACAGATGATATTAATTTTAAAAGTTACAGCTATGCAATATGCATGAGAGTGTGGGAAAGTACTTTGCAGGCTACTGAAACAGAAACACGGACACCAACCCAGGCACAAAATCTTCGAACTACATTCTGTCCTGCTATAAAATATGCTAGGACACTTTTTCACAATGGGTTTGCCGTCAGAATGCAGGTGTTGTGAAAACCACTGCTAATTCAAAGCCAAAATGGGAAAGGAAAAGACTCACGTCAACATCATCTTCATTGGACAGGTTAATTCCGGCAAGTCCACTACAACCGGCCACCTGATCTACAAGAGTGGTGGAATCAACAAATGAACCATCAAGAAGTTTGAGAAGGAGGCTGCCGAGATGGGAAAAGGCTCCTTCAAGAATGCCTGGGTCTTGGACAAACTGAAAGCTGAGCGTGAGCATGGTATCACTATTGGCATCTCCCTGTGGAAGTTTTAGACCAGCAAGTACTATGTTACTATCATTGATGTCCCAGGACACAGAGACTTCATCAAAAACATGATTGCAGGCACATCACAGGCTGACTGTGCTGTCCTGATTGTTGCTGCTGGTGTTGGTGAATTCAAAGCTGGTACTTCCAAGAATGGGCAGACTCGTGAGCATGCACTTCTGGCTTCCACCCTGGGTGTGAAACAGCTAATTGTTGGTGTCAACAAAATGGATTCCACCGAGTCACCCTACAGCCAGAAGAGATACAAGGAAAATGTTAAGGAAGTCAGCGCCTACATTAAGAAAATTGGCTACAACCCTGACACAGTAGCATTTGTGCCGATTTCTGGTTGGAATGGTGACAACACGCTGGAGCCAAGTGCTAATATGCCTTGGTTCAAGGAATGGAAAGTCACTTGCAAAGATGGTAGTTCCAGTGGGACCACCCTGTTGGAAGCTTTGGATTGTATCCTGCCACCAACTCATCCAACTGACAAGCCTCTGCTACTGCCCCTCCGGGATGTCTATAAAATTGGTGTTATTGGGACCGTCCCTGTGGACCAAGTGGACACCGGTGTTTTAAAACCTGGCATGGTGGTGACCTTTGTTCCAGTCAATGTGACAACAGAAGTAAAGTCTGTTGAAATGCACCATGAAGCTTTGAGTGAAGCTCTTCCTGAGGACGTGGGCTTCAATGTGAATAACGTGTCTGTCAAAGATGTTAGACGTGGCAACATTGCTGGTGACAGCAAAAATGACCCACCAATGGGGACTGGAGAGATGGCTCAGCGGTTAAGAGCATTGCCTGTTCTTCTGAAGGTCCTGAGTTCAATTCCCAGCAACCACATGGTGGCTCACAACCATCTGTAATGAGGTCTGGTGCCCTCTTCCGGCATTCATGCAGACAGAATATTGTATACATAATAAATAAATAAATATTTTTTAAAAATAAATGACCCACCAATGGAAGCTGCTGGCTTCACTGTTCAGGTGATTATCCTGAACCACCCAGGCCCCATTAGTGCTGGCTATGCTCCTGTACTAGACTGTCACACAGCTCACATAGCATGCAAGTTTGCTGAGCTTATAGAAATGATTGATCATCGTTCTGGCAAGAAGCTGGAAGATGGTCCAAAATTCTTGGAATCTGGTGATGCAGCCAGTTTTGATATGGTTCCTGGCCAGCCCATGTGTGTCAAGAGCTTCTCTGACTATCCTCCACTGGATCGTTTTGCTGTTCATGACATGAGGCAGACAGTTGCTGTGGTGTCATCAAAGCTGTGGACAAGAAGGCTGCTGGAGCTGGTGAGGTCACCAAGTCTGCCCAGAAAGCTCAGAAGGCTAAATGAATATTACCCCTAACACCTGCCACCCAAGTCTTAATCAGTAGTGGAAGAACTGCTTCAGAATTGTTTGTCTCAATTGGACATTTAAGTTTAATAATATAAGACCAGTTAATGATAACAATGCATCGTAAAATCTTAAGAAGGAAAGGAGATTGTTTTGTGGACCATTTTTTTGTGTGTGTGGCAGTTTTAAGTTATTAGTTTTCAAAATCAGTAAATTTTAATGGAAACAACTTGGCCAAAAATCTGTCACAGAATTTTGAGACCCATTAAAACAAGTTTAATGGAAAAAAATATGCTAGGACAATTATGGCACAGAATTCTGTGAGAAGTCAACCATTTTCTGATTTGACCTAAGGCCCACTTCACAAAAGGCAACTCATACCTGACACTTCTAGGGTGGAAAAGAACCAGAGAATAGATAGCCCTAAGAACTAGGATAAAACAAAACACTAATGATCTATAAATAAAGAAAAAAATACAAATAAAATGACTCCCAATAGTATTCTGCTATAGTCATAGACCATGGCCTTATCTAATCATCATCAAAAAGACTTCTTCTGGCAGCAGATGGGAACAGAGTCAGAGACCCACAGTTAGACATTATACATTGAAAGAGTGTAACTGAGAGGGCTCCATCAAGTCCTTCCCCTCTGAGCTCAGGGAATCCTGCCAAATAAGAGGCAGATTCTTTTGTGTTTTGTTTTGTTTTTTAAAACAGAATTTTTCTGTGTAGCTTTGGCTATCCTGTAACTCATTCTGTAGACCAAGCTGGGCTTAAACTCATGAAAATCTGCCTGAATCTGCCTCCTGATGTCTGGGATTAATGGCATGTGCCACAACCTTCAAGTCTGGCAGAAAGGTTCTAAGATCAAGAGGAGATAGAGGACACCAGGAGACCATGGACTTCTGAATCAACTAAACAAGTACATATAAGCTCATAGAGACTGAAACAACAATCACATGCCCACAGTGGCCTAAAACACATCCTCTTCATATATGACTATTAGTTTAGTATATTGTGGTACTCCTCACTGTGAAAGCAAGTGAGCTGTGATTCTTGAGACTGTGCTTTATACTCTTTACCTACTGTAAGTTTTCCATGTCCAACTTCAATATGGTAGCCTTTCCCTTACATTATTATATCTTATTCTTGTCATGTTTAATTATTATCTTTTAGAAGCCTTTCTTTTTCTGATAAGGACAATAAGGGCATAGGTATTCCTGGGAAGGGAAGTAGGGAAAATGGGAGGAGCAGGGAAAGAGGACACTATAATCTTGATATATTGTAAAATAAAACAATATATTTTCAATAAAAGAAAAATATCTTTATCTATACATATATATATAATTTCTATAGTAGTGGGTTTCCATATGGTTTGTCAAAAAGCCTTTCGTGTAGGCTGTCACTCCCCTTATTCTCTTCTTTATTGGGCCCACCATCTCCTCCCTGACTTAATCCTCCTATTCTATTGTCGTTTTATCTCTTTATAAAACTATATTCAATTTCCTTTCTTTGGAAGAGTGTATCCTCCTGCCTGATCCCTTTTTAATAATGCAACCTCTGTAGCTATTCAGAAAAAACACACACATACAAAGCTTAAAGTCAAAGATCCACATATAAGAGAAAATACGTGATGATTATCCTTTGGGTTTGGGTTACCTGGCTCAGGATAATAGTTTCTAACTCCATCCATTTAGCTGAAAATTTCATTTTTCTTCACAGTTGAATAATACTATAAAATACATATGTGTCATATTTTTATTATATGCTCATCAGTTGATGGATATCTAGGCTGTTTCCCATTTCTGACTATTATGAATAGAATAGCAGTGATCATGGATAAGCAAATATCTCAAAGTAAGATGCAGAGTTCATTGAGTATATACCCATGAGTGATGGACTGGATCTTGAAATAAACTGATTTTCAGCTTAAAATCGGAGAAAATAGTTGAACAAATGCTTTTGTCATATGATAGAGCATCTCTTGGGTATATTCCCAGGAGTGGTATTGCTGGGTCCAAGGGTAGGTTGATCCTGAGTTTCCTGAGGAACCGAAACACTGACTTCCACAGTGGTTGCACAAGATTGCATTCCCACCAGCAATGGATGAGGGTACCCCTTCCTCCACAGCCTCTCCAGCAAAGGCTATCATTGGTGTTTTTGACTTTAGCCATTCTGACAGGTGTAAGATGATATCTCAAAGTTGTTTTGATTTGCATTTCCCTGATTGCTAAGGAAGTTGAGCACGACCTTAAGTGTCTTTTGGCCATTTGAACTTCTTCTGTTGAGAATTCTCTGTTCAGTTCAGTGCCCCATTTTTTAATTGGGTTAATTAGCATTTTAAAGTCTAGTTTCTTGAGTTCTCTATATATTTTGGAGATCAGACCTTTGTCTGTTGCGGGGTTGGTGAAGATCTTCTCCCAGGCAGTAGGTTGCCTTTGTGTCTTAGTGACAGTGTCCTTTGCTTTACAGAAGCTTCTCAGTTTAAGTAGGTCCCATTTATTCAATG